CAACTGCGGTCGCTCATGCAGCGCACTGGCTGAGCGTTGTGCTCGCGCTGGTGAAGACGCATCTCGCGGCGGCCGGGTAACGGCCGCAAGGCTCGCCGTCGCCGACTATATGTCGCCCCCGAAGTCATCCGAGGCACAGGACGGCATCGCTGCGACGAAGGCAACGGACACGGGGCCCCTCGAAGCCATCGCGCAGGTCTGCAACGAAGTATGACCAGTGACGTTCATCGTCGGCGCAGGCGCCACTTCCTTCGCGCGCGGCGCTGCCTGCGCGGCCACGGCGGCGGCCGCCGGCGCGGCGGCATCGTCGCCAGAGGCCGTCGCGATCATGGCCGAGGACCTCGTCTTTGAGGAGCACTGCGGCCCGTTGCGCGCAACCAGGAACGCAGGAAGTGCCAGCTGGAAGCGCTGACAGCCGCGCGAGCGCGCGAGGTCGACGGCGACCGCGGCGACGCGGACATTGATGTTTTCAGCATCGGCAGGAACTGCTGTTGGCATTCGCCTTTTCTTCCGACGCGATCTCGATTGGGCCGAGGCGCCCTGGGGCCAGGCTCCCGCCCTAGCAGATTCGAACGACCGCGACCCCGCGCCCCGCAGGCGATCGCGCGCGCGCAGCTCGCAGCGAGCCCTCGCCAATCGCAGCAACGCTGCCTTCCCGAGCACGAACGCCACTCGAAAGCAGCGTCTTCAACTCGCGATTGCCAGCTCGACGCCGCGCAGCGCATACAAGTCGCGCAGGACACTCGCAGACCGATCGCGGGAACATGAAGGTGGCGCGACGTCGCAGCGCGGCGCTGACATTGCCCGAACGCTCAGCGAGCTCCGCGAATTCTGCGCGGTGCCGGCGCTGGCCGGTGAATCGCAGACAACCCGGCCCGGCGTGGCCTAACGGAGCGGGCTCTCGTCGGCGGGCTCATCGCTCCCCAAGATCGAGACCCCAGGGGTCGGGGCGTCGTCGTACGACGCTGGGTCCTCCGCGGAGTCCATGCCTCCTGGCCCATGGTCGGGAACAGGGCAATCGCTCGGGAACGGGTTCGCATCGTCGAAACTTGAATACTGCGGAGGCAATCGATGCTTCCACGGCGACGCCGCTTCGCCGCGCGCGGCAAGTCCATCGACGGGCCAGGCCGTGGTCCAATAAAACGCTTGCGCACACACGGGCGGCACAGACACCATCGAGCACGGGCCAGCGACGTCGCTGATCCAAAACCCAGGGCACGTGATCAGCGGCAGGATGCAGAGGTGGAGGCACATTGGTGCCCAGCCGCCCGCGGCGATGGGCTCTTCGCCCGACTGCGTCACTGTGCATCGGGGAAATATAGAAGAACACTGCATGCTCATGAACGCCGAGAAGCACCTGCGTCGCCCGAGCAACAGCGGCCGATCTAGGGCGCCCCGCGGCGACGTCGGAGGCGAGATGCGCTGCCCCGCGCTCTATACCTCGGCCGACGGCGCGACCCGGGTCGGGGCCGAACCAGAAGCGCTTCGACGGAGAGTGACATCGCGTCGCCCGTCTTCCCCACCTTTTCCGCGTAAGCGGCGGGGAAGCCAGCAATGATGCCGTCCAGGGCGGAATCCTTCGGCCCCCGGGCGCGCCGGCGCGGGCTGGCCCAGCGCCGCGTCGCGCGTCGTCGGGTCGCCGTGACGTCTGCAAGCACGAAGTCGGCCATGGTGATCTGGGCAGGAACGCGCCGGAGAGGCCGCGTCGCGGGCGATCGCGACCCGCGGGCCGCCGCGCCGGGTACAGGACGGCACCGAAACAATTGTGGCCTGCAAGCGGGTACCCCGCCCCCGCGGAAGCCACCCCCAGCGGGGGATTCGAGCCCCGCGCGACGCGCAACACGCTCGAGCGAAGCAGAGAGCTAGCCCATGTTTTTCGGAGGAGCACAGCGAACCTAGCAACGCAAGGCAACCCAGCACGACGCAGCGCACGAGAAACTACGCGCCGCAACGCGCGCCAAGCGCGCTGCGCGGCAGTGGGCAACAAAACAAATCGCAGCATTTAAAAACCACTCGCCGCAACGCGCAACAACGCAAAACAACGCAATGATGCACGGCGACGCGTGAGGCACGGCCACCGAACATAATGTTGCAATTCGATGCTTTTCAGAGCCACGCGATGGATTGCACTGCTACCGACCAGCCAGAAGCACAGCAAAGACACGCAACGCAACATTATGCATAGACTGACCATGCTAAACAATGCAAAGCACAGCAAGTCAAATCGCAGACTTGGAATGCATCGCAACGCGCAGCTACGCGACGCTTTCCAAAGAAAGGAAAGCGGCGAAAATGAAACCACGCAAAGACTTCGCGGCGTTGGAGGAGAACGCATCAAGGCATTGCGACGCAGACGAGGGTCAATCAAAAGACCCCCTGGGATCCCCAAAGGATCTTCGGAAAACGCCCATGGGGCCCGGCAGGGGGGGCACGAAGCCCCCGTGGATAAGGGCCGCGCACCTGTGACCATCGGCGCTGAATAGCGAACGCACGTCGTCGGAGCCCACGGCGCGCCGCGCGACGCGTAATCTGAAGGGCGCCGCACGGCAGCGGTTGATCTGCGAGCGCTTCGCCAGTCCGCGCCATCGCGATCGCCGCGCGGCGCAAAGCGCGCGATCGCCGCTGTTCCAGATGGCGCGGACCAGAGGGCGGCACCTAAGAAATTCCCAAGAGGCGAAGCGGGGCCACGAGCCCACCGCGACGCAGCGGCTCGCGGGCGGCCGCGGACCGCGTGAATGATGGCGGCGATCGCGGTCTGGCGGCGCAGCGCCCACTCGCGCGAACGATCGCTCCACTCGGGCCGCGCGCGGCCCCGACCAGCCTTCGCGGCGTCGGCGCCGGCCAGAGAGATTGCACCATGCGCGAGGCGCCCCCCCAGGCGCGCGCACCCGCCCGGTCGCGCGGCGAAGCAACGCAGGGCCCTTGGAAAGCCTGGAGAAGGCCGCCGCCCAAGCCAAGACCTTGCGACGCTAGCGCCTCGGAGCGCGCGCAAGCCCCCCGCGCGCGGGCGGCCCGCGGTCGCTGCGCCATTGGCTGGAGCAGCCCTGCAGCAGCGGGGCCCTGCGCTTGTTCGACGAGGTCGTAAGCGCTGCCGCGCGCAGCGAGGCCCCGCGCCCCTTCGCGCGCCGGGCGGAGCGCCGCACCTCTTCGACGCACCGAAGCCGAAGAGCTGATCCACGGCACCGCCCTCCAAAAAAGTCGCGCGACAGGCGCGGCGCGCCGTTCCAACCGCAAACGCGGCGCCGGGAAAGCTGCGACCTCCGTCGCGCGATCGGCGCGACGATAGTACTCATCGCCTGGCACGCGCCTCGCGCTTGAGTCTGGGCTCGCACAGCTCCGGGCGCGCTGGGCTGCGCTGCCGACGACGCCCTAGTCGCAGTGGGGCCTTCAGGTCCGCGCCGCGGTTATAGCCGAGACCCCGTTGCGCGCGGAGGGCGCGCCCCCCTGCTGCGACTGCCGGCGCTGGCGCTCGCGGCCTGCTAGGGCCCGCCGCGTATGCCGCGAGTGCGTGCGCTGCTCGGTACATTGCCTCCCCTTCTTTCAGCTGGCGCAGAAGACCGCTGCGCGCTTGATGCGAAGAGCGCGCGGGCGAAGCGATCGCGGCAACCAGCCATCGCAGCAAAGACTTGCGCGCGAGATCAAAGGTCGCAGTCCGCATGTCATAAAGCGCGGGCCAATGACTCTCGGCACCAGCAGTGCTCGCTCAATGCCGACCGACCCCGCCAAGCTCCGCCCAGCGCGCTCGCGCCGATCATGACGAAACCTTCCGGTCGAAGCTGCGCCAGCCACTGCCGCGACACCGACAACTCGCGCCGCGGGCCTCGCCTTTTCTCGAAATGACCGTACGCGATGCGGAAACTTTCCTCGATCGCGCTTGCCTCGTCCGTTGGGCTCTGGCCCCGCGGAAAGAATTGCGCCGCGGTCAGATTGTCCGCGCCGCCGAGGAGCAACCCAGCGGCGACGCCCGCGCACGCGAAGGGAAGCAAACAACGATTCGCACTGACAAGGTCGACTCGGCCACTTTGCGCGCGAGCGGATGCGCTTGGGTCGGTTCGATCGGCGCGGAAGCGCGCCCCCGTGCGCCCGCTGGCGGAGGCGGCGGCGGCGGCCGCTCGCGATTTGGACAGGCGTCGCTGGGCGCGGCGAGCACGCCGGTTCGACCTGCGCGCCCTCGCTGTCAGGAGCCGACGTGGACGGGAGGGAGAGCCGCATAGACATCGGCGCTTGGACTCACGTCTCACAAGGCAGCGCACGAACCGCGAGATTGACAGCGCTGGCGACGGCGCCGCGCTTCCATCGGGCCCAGGCCCGAAACGTTGCCCCGCCCCCTCCTCGACTGCGGGGCTCGCTGGAGCATCGGGCACTCTTGCGGCATAATGCAACATAGAGCTTTTCGCACTTGCGGCGGGGCTGGGATGGGGACATAGGACGCGGCTGCAAGGCATGATGGGGAAAGGCAGAGGATGCGAGCGGCAACTGGAGGACGCGACGCCCGACCGATTCTGGACCCCACAGTGGAGGCTCGCGGGGGCTAAGAGTTACACTGGAGCGCTCGCGAGGCGCGAGCCCAGCCAGCCGCGGGGTGCGCAGTGGAGGGGGGGCCCACCTGACGGCGCACCCCCTGACTTCCCCTTGGCCCTGACGCACACGCCGCCCAGAGACATCCTCCTCCCCCGACCCGCGGAGCCACGACCGCGGGCCCTCGGGCGGCGATGGTTACGGGCCCAGCCCGACACCCCGGAGGGCGGGCAGCGCCCCATACCCACCGCGCGCCTCGAGGCCCCGCGGCGCGGCACCGCGGCGGCGGCCTTGGACGTGTCCAGGCGGAAAGAGGGTGAGCGAGGAGAGGGGAAGGGGGGCGCGCATCTTTTAGTGGCAAAGTCAAAGGGGAGGTGCCACGACACAATCACGCCACGGGGCACCGAATCACATGGTCGAGTCCCCGAAATACGCAGGCCGGCCCGCCCCCCCAGCAGGAGCCAGATCGCTCCGACGATGTCCTTGCTGTGATCGTCGTTGGCGGCGCCGCTGAGGATGTTTTCAAGCGCGGGCGTGTTGTCCTCGAAGAGGATCAACCGGGCCCCGCGGAGCTCGTCGGGGCAGGTGAGGAGCAGCACCAGTACGGCGAGCAGCTCGGACTGTGTGTTTCGCTGCTTCTTGCCGACCCTCAGCAGCTCCGCGCACAGGTGCTGCGGGATGTGCGCAGAGAAGCTGCGGCCGCTGCGTTGCGAGGACAACAGCATGCCCCCGATGGCCCCCGTGCCGGTGTCCATGTCCCATGACCCGTCGACCCATCCGAGGACGACGGGCCGCTGGTCGCCGTGGACGCGCCTGTGGTATATCGGGCAGCGCAGCAGCGCCTTCCACCACGCCAGCGCGTCGGCGAGGCGTTCGGACCAGCCGCCTCGGTGCGCCGACACGTTGGAGGCGTATACCCGGCCGATACGGCCGAACATTGCCGCGGTGGCGAAGCCCATCTGTCCTCCGAGTCGGGCCGCGTCGCGCCTGCTGAGGCGGCGCGCGCGGAGCGCGGAGTCCACGTCCGCGGCCAGGTCGTCGCGCCGCTTGACGGTGAGGCGCAGTCCCGCCCAGTGCCCGGTGGAGATGACGTCCAGTCCGAGCAGATCCAGCACGGCCGCTGGTCCCTGGTTCTTGCCGTCCTTGAGCGGGATACCGGGCATGGCGTGCAGCTCCTGGAACACCCATCGTGCAGGGCGGCCCACCTGGCCGGGGAGGCGCGGTGGAAATCGTCCACATGCGCGTTCTGGGGCGCGCTGAAGATGCGGCGGAGCGGGTGAATCACGCTGGCGGCGACGCGCGTGTACCCCCAGACTGCTCCGAAGGCCCCGAAGGGGAGCGCCTTGTGCGCGAAGGCGCGGAATCCGCCCTCTGGACCCACGGTGTCGTCCCAGACCAAGCACACCAGCAATGGAATGTCATCTAGATGTACCGGCCATTGTCGGTAGGCCTGCGCGTGGTCGCCCTTTGCGATGAGGGGGACGCCGTCATCGCCCCACTCGTGGAACTCCTCCGCTATGAACGCGACCGCGTCGAGGAGAGAGGCGATGCCTGCCATCCTCATGCGCTCCTGGGTGGCTGCTGCGAGGTTCAGGCCGCTTGCCGTGGCGTCGTCTATGGGCCGGACCTCGTATGAAGTGGCCGTGCGGTTCTGGACGCGCGGGAAGCGCCGCGTTGGTAACCATCTGGCAAACGGCACGGTGGAGCGCACCTGGCCGGTGTGGTCGAGCCATACTTCCCAGGGCCCATCGAGCTTGCCCGACACGCGCTCGGCCTCGGTGACCCGGAGGACCTCGGCCATGTCTGGCTCCCGCTTAGTGTTCAGGAACATTTCCCGAAGTGCGGCATCTCTGTTGTCCAGTGCCAGCTCGAGAGCGCTGTCCAGCTCGGCGGCGTCAGGCAGATCTGCGCAGTCGGTGTGCTCGTAGAGCCGCGTGTCTGGGAGGACGCCCCGCATGCGGAAGCCCGCCATGATGTCGGCGATGACCTCCGTGTCGTCATGGCCGGAAGCCAGGGGCAGCTCCCTGTGCAGCGGGCCGTTGTATGTTGGCGGCAACACGTCTTTGACGTGCTGTGAGAGGCCGGCGCGCCAGGCGCGTGTCGCATCGCTCAGGGATGCCTCGGCGCGCCTCCAGTACTGCACCTGCCCGATTACCCAGCGTTCGTAGTCGGGGCAGTCGCGCGCCCAGAGCAGTGCGCTGCGAATGGGCGCTGGCGGGCGCACGGCGGGCGGTTCCGCCCACTGGGGCGCGGGCTGGCGTTGTTGCCGGTCCCAGGCCATGTCCACGTGCTGGTTCGGCGAGATCGCCCGCTGCTGCTGTGTAAAGCCTTTAGCTGCTCTGCCTGGCGCGGCAGGGTGCTGTGGCGGGGGCACAGTGTCCTCGGCGTACCACGGCATGGCGTCTCTGCGCGCGCTTTGCTGGCTGCGCGGGTCGGCGGGCGGCGGCGCGTAGGGCGGCAGCTGGTTTGTGTCGACGGCGTCGAATTCTTGTTCGGCCGCAGGGTCGTGGAGCCTCGCTGCATAATCGACCCTGGTGATGCCGCTGCAGGTGCTGCCCGTTTGGTCTGGGGCATTGGTGGTGCCGCCTGAGGACGCGAGGGTGCCCGCGCCGCGGTGCTGTGGCGGGCTGGCGCTCGTGCGCGGGCGTGGAGCTGGGCCGCCCCTCGTGGGCTGTGCGGTGGCGGCCGCGGTGGCGCGGCTCTGCGGGCTGGTGCGCGCCCGCGGGTTGAGCTTCCGGCGCTGGTCCCGGCCGGACGCCCCAGTGTGAAACTGCGGTGGGTCCCGCTGTGGACGGCTTTGAGCCCAGTCGTCGGTGGCGGGGTGAAACTGTCGGCATGCTGCCGGTGGGGGCGCGGCTGGGTCGGTCGCGCCGCCGCGCGGTGCCCGAGGTGCGCGGGCAAACGGCGGGGCGCGGCCGCTCGCAGGGCCGCCTGTCGTGCTCGGCTCCGGCTGCCCCTGTTGCGCGGAGCCTGCAGCCCCTAGTCACTCGTGGCGATGCCAGCAGCGGTCGCCGTGCTGGCAATTCCCTTCGATGTGCCTTACGCACCACGCTCCTTTGCCGCCTCCTTTGGTCGGCTCGGGCTGGCCCGCCGCGGGGTGTGCGTGCGCGGTGCCTTTGCGCGCGCCCTTGCCCTTCTTGCTTGCCCCGGCCGGCTTGCCCTTGCCAGCGGCTTTGCCTTTGTCGCCGCGGTGTTCTGGGCCTGCGGGCGCAAGCTGCTGCAGCCGGTTCTGCAGCCGCTGTGCTTTCGAGAGACGCCTGCGCTTGGTTGGTGGTTGGCCCGCGTCTGTCAGGGCGAGGGGCGGCGCGGTCACGATGCTGCCCGCCATGCCGGCGTGGGCGGCTTGGGCGCCGCCGTTGGTACCGAGCGTGGGTGCCCGGGGCTGCGCGACGAGACGCGGCGCCATGGCGAGTGTGATGTCGAGGTCGCTGTTCTCTGGGGGCATGGACGCGAGGATCGCGTCGTCGATCGTGTCCCCGGCCTTCGACGCTTGCGCCACTGGTTCTGACACACCAGGTACGCCTGGTAGTACTCTGCGACAGAGAGGTTCCAGTACCCCGGTCGCGGCGCGCGGTTCTTGCGGACCTTCGCCCAGAACCTCTGGTGGAAGACGTCCAGGGACTTGATGTCCTTGACCCACCCTACGAGAAAGATCAAGTTCTCGATGATGTACGCCCACGTCTCGAGGTCTTCCAGTGTGTCAGGTGGGGCCTCCTGTATGGCTGGGAGCCTCCAGGCGAGCGCCCCGTTCTGGACGGGCCCCAGGAAGCTGGCGAGGCCGGTCTTCTTGCCGATTTCCTCGGATTGGACCTTGTCCGCAAGCAGGGGGACGAACTCCTTCTGGACGCGGCGCAGGCGCTCGTAGCGGCCCCAGAGGCGGGCGCTGGGTAAGCGGGCGTCCTCGACGTCGTGACGCCTCGCCTCGAAGAAGGCCTTCAGCCGCTTCTCGCGGTAATCCGGAATCAGCTCGTAATAGTCTTCGTGGCCCGGATCCTTCGCCTCGATGGGCGCCACCTCCTCCTGGTCGGGAGGCTTGTTCGCGGTCTCTGTGCTGGCGGCGTAGCACTTCCGGTAGAAGCCCAGCGTCTTCGCCCACGCCGCAGACCCCTTCTTCACGATCTCGGGGAGCGCGCCCGCGACGGTTTCAACGAACATGATGTCCACGGGCTTCACTACGGTGGCGCCCGCATGGTCGCGCAGGTACTCTGGGGTGACGGAGTCGGCCGCCGTTCCGTGGTCAGTGAGGCCATTGTTGGTAGCCCACGCCTGGACCTCCGCAGGGAGCGCGGCGTACGCGTCGGCGAAGGTGCTCGACATCTTCCCGCGGTTCGAGTCGGTGGTGTTCGCAGCGCCCGTGTAGCTGGCGCTGCGCTTGAGCACGATATGGCGGCTGCGGGCAGAGTGCCAAAAAGAATATTCTGGCTGGCCCGCCCCGGTGGTTACGATGCCCCGGGGGGCTCGCAACCACCAGGAACGCGCGGGCCAGCTGAACTCTACCGGCTTGGTGGGGCGCCCCGCACGCGGTGCCCGTCGCCTCCCCGGCGCTGCCGACGGCGGGCCGTTGGCCAGCCGCACGCCGCGGCGAGCGGCTGGCTAACCGCACCGCAGCAAAGACGCCGGCGGGGGCGGAGCCGAGGAGGCGCTTGCACACGGCGCGGAACGACCACCCTTGCCTCGGAGTCTGATCGGAAGACCGTGCCGCTTGCGCCCGCCGCCCCAGCGCGCCGGCGCGCCGGCGCGCGGGAAGGCCAGGGACGGCGGGCGCGCGGGCGCGGGCTTCCTCCGCTCCCTTGCTCAGACGGAAACTTCGGGAGACCGCTTCTTCGCGGACTTGCCTTGGCTCGCGGGCGGCGCTTCTGTTCGCATGGCCTGCGCCTCCTCGACCCGGCCGACGGCGGGCCGCTGGCCAACCACCTCCCGGAGCAGGCGGCTGGCTAGCCGCCGCGCGACAGCGACGCCGGCGAGAAGCGGGCGAGGAGGCGTGGGCACGCTGAACGGAGGGGCTACTTGCGACTGGGGGAGAAAATTGGAAAGCCGCGCCGCACGCGCCCGCCGCCCCACCACGCAGCCACGCCGAAACGCGAGGCACACCCGGGATGGCGGGCGCACGGGCGCGGATTTCCGTCGCCCCACATTACGTACGGAGGCTCCGGGAAAACGCCTCTTGCAGACTTGCGCGGGTGCGCGAGCGACGCTTCCACGCGTGGTGCCGCCGCGGTCCCTGGACCGCGCCGGCGGCGGGCAGGTGGTTCGCCGCCCGCGAAGGCGGACGACGACCCACCCGCCGCGCAGGACGGACGCCGGCCGAGCGGGGGGGCCCAGGGAAGGTGAGCAGACGACGCGGGAAGCAGACCCCCACGCTCGGGATTTCACGCCGACGGCCGCGGGCCCGCGCCCGCCGCCCCACCTGCGTCGGCCAGCCGGCGCGCGCAGAGAGGACGAGGCGGCGGGCCTGACCCGCAGCCTTCCCGTGATTTCCCAGCGCTGGTTCAGAGAGACGCGGGAGAGGCCACGCTTCCTTTTACTGCACGGCTGCTCGTAGTCAAAACGCTTGCACAGTGACAGAAGTGCGTCCGTGCCCGGTGCCGCGCGGTTTCCCTGGCCACGCCAGCGGCGGGCAGGGGATCGGCAACCCTTGCGCGCGGGCAGCCGACCCCCCGCCACGCCGCGAACGCGTCGCGGCCGGGTTGCCAGGGAAGAGCGGGCCCGTAGCACGACGCAGCGACGCTCGAAGCGGAAAGGAGAGTGCTGGGCTGGATGCTGTGGGACGACGCACCGCGCGCGTGCCCCGCCGCTTCCCCAAACAGGCCGACGGCGCGGCACCTGCCAGACCACCTGCGAGCGCAGGCGGTCAGCCAGCCGCCACGCGGCCACGACGCCGGCGCGGAGGAGCCGGGGAGGTGGCAGCGCACGCTGCACAGTGGCCGTCTCCACTCGGGCGACAATGAGAGCCGCGCCGCGCGCCCCCGCCGCCCCCTTGGCGCCGGCCCGCAGGCTCGCGCAACAGGGACAGGGCCGGCGGGAGCGCGGCCGCGGCTTTCCGTGTCGGCTTATGGATGCACGATGGACTCTGCATCTCAGGATGGCTGGGTGGGTTTCCCCGCTCGGCGCCCCTCCGCCTCCCGGGCCCCGCCAACGGCCAGCAGCTGATTCACCGCCCGCTCGGGCGGGCGGCGAACGAGCCGCCGCGCGCGCGCGCTGTCGGCAACGAGGTGCCCAGGAAGCGCAGGCAGACGACGGGGGCGCTCCACCCTTCGACCGCGATCTGATTTTGTTATTGTGATTCCCTATGCTTTCTTTTTCCCGCTCCGTGAGTGCTCTCGCGATCCAGCGGTCGCCGCCCGCCTGGGCCGGCTCCGCTGGTGGGCCGGCACGCCCTGCCCCGCTGTGGGAGCGACGGTGCCACGCCTGGCCAGCACGCTCTGTCCCGCACTGGGACGGCGAAACCAAGCCTATGGCGCTCCACCACGTCGGTTGGTCGCTCTCGCACGGCAGACTAGGCAGGTGCGGAGGTCGGCACCGCGGGGGCACTCCTGCGACCACGAGGCGCTCTGCAGGGTGTTGTCGCACAGGGTCGTTACGACTCCGTGGGGCGTCTGGACCCTCAGGCGGGCCGTGCGCCTCCGCTTGGAATCCGCTGCGGGAGCGATGATCGCCTCGTGCACGTACCGAGGCCTGCTGGGATTGATGTGGTCGCTGACAAGGAACCCGAGCCGTGCCTTGGTGGCTTCGTCCGCGGACTCGCCTTCGCGCGGCCATCCCACCCGCAGGTCCGGCGCGGCCCCGGGGGCTGGGGCGCCTGCGCCTCGGCGGGCTTGGCGTTGTCGCGGCGATGCTGCGGGCATGTCCTGGCTGGCGGCGTCGCTCGGGCCCCGGCCGGCGTCTGGGCGCGCTGGCAGCTGCAATGGCACGGGCTGCTGTGGCGCCGGGCCCCACTGAAGGCCCGGTGGCGCGTCGGAGTGGAATTTCCCTGCTGCGATGTCTTCGAGCAGTGAGGCGAGCTTGGCTATCGGCGCGGAGAGCTCTGACATATTGTAGGCCCGCACGCACTTGCCCACCCCTGCGCTGCGGTGGTGTCCGAGTATCGCAAGGTCTGCTTCCGAGAACTTCCCCGACGTGCCCGCCCATGTCAGTGCGGTTTTCTTTCCCGAGTGAAGCGAAATGCCCGCCGCCTGTTCTCGTGGGATTCCGGCCTCCTGCAAGACGACTCGGACCTGCGTGGCCCATTCGTCTGGTTCCGTGGCCCCCGGGGGAATTAGCCGAGCGCGGGCGGCCCACGGGGCCGGCACAGCGTACTCCTGATCCGCGATGCCGAGCTCGGCGCAGTCCTCAAGGTATCCCTGCGCCCACCGCGAAGGCTCGGTGCAGACGCCCCGCAGCGGCGCGGACCAGGGCATCTCTGGGCTGAGGCGCGTGCTGGTGGCCTCCGTGCCCTTGGTCTTGTGCGCGGTCCCGTACAGGAAGCCGCGCTCGCCGCCCGCAGCGCGCCAGGCGCTCGGTGAGTCCCAGATGCTGTCATCATTGCGCAGGGATGCGTGCACTTTCCTGAGCTCGCTCCTCGCGGTGATCCGCGACAGCGCAGACGGGAGCTTTTTGACAGCGCATTCCAAGGTGCGGATTTGCTCCACCGTGTAAGCGCGTGCCCTATGCCCCGCTGTTGCTGTTTCCCGGTAATGGGCTGCCGCCGCCGTGCTGACGGCGACGTGTTCCGTGGGCAGCCGGTCGCTGATCTGGGCAAGCCTGGCCAGAAACGCCAACGAAGCCAGCCGCGCCTTCGGCACCGTCGCGTTGACGTCTGCGTCAATGAGGTCCTCGACGTAATCGATCAGGCGGAGGGTCGCCTGCTCGCAGCTCGGGAGCGCCGCGAATGGCGAGCCTTCTCGCTTTGCCCGGTGCCACACGGTGAATGCCATGACGTTGGACGCGTGCCGCTGCAGCGTGGTGTGGCTCCATCGCCGGAGCATCCTCTGCAGATGCCTTGCCCTACGGTCTGGGGGCATCGCGGTAAGCAGCTCCTGCGTGGGGCCGCCAGTGCTCGCCAGAATGTTGCCCCAGCACTTGGCGGCGCGCGCAATGCCCTCGTCCCGCTTGTCTTTCCAGCGGAGGGCGGCCTCCCGCCGAAACCCAGCGGCGCGGCCGCCGCGAGGCGCGCGCTTCCCTGCGGCGGCGATGCCCGCCCGGCGCTTGCCCCGGCCGAGTTCGCGCCGGCGCGATCTCCCCGCGCGACCGCGAAGCGGCACCGCGGCGGCGCCCGAGCGCTCGGGCGGCGCCCGGCGCGGTTGCGCGACGCCGCCGGCGGTCGACCTGGCGGTTATCGAGTCGCCGCCCAGCCGCGCGGTGCCCCAGCAAGCGGCCCGCGGGGGCAGCAGCGCTCCAACGGCATCGCCCAGATAATGACTCCAGCGCGCTTCTGCCCAGTAGTTTGCCCCGGCCGCGCCAGCGGCTCGTCCTCCGGCGGCGGCCCCAGCGCAGGGCGCGGGCCAATCGGCGGGCGACCGCACGGGGGCCGCTCCAGTTGCGCCAGCGCGGGCAGAGGCTGGCGCCCGCAGAGCATGTGCCCTTTCAGCGCTTTCCTGCCGCTGCCTTGACCGTGCCCCCGATGCGCGAGCGCCTCTGGCGGCGGAGCCGCGCCGCCCGCTGCCGGCGGTTCCGGCGCGGCGCGCGGGTCCAGCGGTACGCGCCCGCAAAGCGGGCGCTCCAGCTGCGGCCACCCGCGCTCCAGATCCAGTTTGGCCCGTCTGCTCGCCATCGCCCGGCGCGCGGAGGTCCCTCGGAATATGAGCGGGCTGCTCCTTTGCCCCGACGAGGCAACGGGGCCGCCTCCCTCTCAAATTCCAAGGCCCCCCCCCCCACACGGCCCTCGGCGCGGCTTAGGAGACAGACGGCTTTCGGGTCGTGTTAGTTTAGGCTCACCCCCCCCCCCACGCGCCCCGGCATCGCAGCCAGCGTCACCGTGCCCAGCCCGACCCAACCCAAAGCCGGGGCAAGCGAAAGTGGAGCGGAACGCCTAGGCGCGCGCGCGCGTTCCCGCGGGGCCGCCCGCGCCACGACGGCGCAGCGAGCGTTCCGTCGTCTCGCAGCTGAGCCCTGCCGCCTCTCTTGCGCCGAGCGAACTCACGCGCGGGCCGGCGCCCAGCGCTGGCTGGAAGAATGAAAGCTTCCGCGGGCTACGGCAGCGCGCGCGCCCGCGCGTTGCCAGAGCGCGCCGATGGCGCGAGCAGTGCCCTGTCGGGACCGTATACGCGAGACGCGCGAGGGACGACGATGTTGACCTGTCCGCGCGACCCCGAGGTATCGTCCGATATTTCAGAAGAGACAGGCATCCCCGTCAAGTGAGTTATGATGGAGCCAGCCAGGCGCTGGAGCTCCACATCGCTCGCCGGGGATTTC